ACAATAAATATTTTATAAACAGAGTCCCTGTAATATTTTAAGACGAAAATACCGAACCTATGATAATTTTCAAATAAAAAGAGTTTAAAAATTACGAATGGCAGGGCTAGAGTTTTACTCAATGACAAGTTGATCCGTGTAAAGATGCTGAATTATGTAATTTTCAAAAATATGAAATTCGAAAAAGTATTCTTTTTATTTAAAATATAATCATAATCTGAGCATTTCCATATTAGACTTTTCGTTTTAAAAAATTACGTTACGTTTTAAAGAAATTTTTTAAATATTTATCGTCAGTTTTGGGATATCTTATATTATATATACATATTTATGCTATTCTTATTGAAATGATTGCAATTAATGGAGAGCAAGTGTAATTTGCATTTTGTCATTTATATAGAAAGTTACTACGAATGAATGATTTGTAGATAAAGCCAATTTCAATGAAAAAATTGAAGATATTTTAACTGAGTAAAGTAAAAAAAAGCAAATTGAAATTACAACATTAGTTCTGTTCGATATAAATTGCTAGATAAAAATATTATTCAAACATGTGTTTAATATACCTATATTTAGTTTACATATTTAAATAATAATATGTGATCGATGTAGTATCTCACGTGTATTTCGTACCGGTTTCGGAAAAAAAAATAAAAATAAAAAGATTCACAGAAAGGAAAAGAAGAACACACGAAACGCGAAATTGTAGGAGAAAAAGAGAGAACAATTACGGAGAATGAGAAGAAAGAAGAATAGAAAAAGACCGGCCAAATAAGCCGTCGTAGGACGAGTAACGAGGCATATAATAACCCTCGGTGACACTCGAACAAACAGCCATCTGTAGGTAATACCCCTGTGGTGAGGAACGCCCCGAAAACTACACCCCGCCAAGAAATTACAATGACAATGAGCGAAATCTGATCCGCCCGCGGGCACGCACTGTATTTCTTTTTTTCTTCCTTTTTGCCTTCACACCTCCTCTCGCAGCGCGTACACGATTCCACGCGTCCCAGGTTCTCGGCTATTGTGCGACACGACGATCCGAAGAGGCGAGAAGAATTAACGTCGTCGAAAACGAGGGTCGTCGCGTAATACGTTTGTGGGTTGTACGCGTATGTGGGCTTTAAAAGTCGTTGTTTTCTACAATCACACATTTCCTAAATAACGCCGCTAAATCATATATCGACCGAATCCTCCTGCATTCTATCGAGTTTAATCAAACTCAAAGCAGTCAAAATATTTTTTAATTTTTTATCAAATTTATAACGGCGCATTTTTTGAGATTTTCCTTTGTTGCAATGTGTAATTACATTGATCAATTACTTTTTTTTTCTTTCTTTTTTTAAATATAGTATATAAGTAGAAATATAAATATAAATAGTATATAATACAGTATATAAATAATAGAATAGATATATGTTAATCGATAGTTTTAGTATTATTAACACAACATCGCTGTGCTTATCTTAGTCTTAAGACACTATCATGTTTTCTGATAACAATCGCAGAACTTTCGTAAAATATTATCGATTAATTGATTTATTCATTTCATGGCCATGATATCTTCACATTAAATTTAAAAATTAGAATATCAGAATAAAGTTAAACAAATCACGGTCCTCTCACTTTGGTTTCTAAAGTACGAGAGAAAGCGTGCGGCATTTTGACGTCCTCTCGGTTAAAGCAACGAAAATTGCCGCTACCATTTTGGATGGTAATATGATTTCATAATTAATTCATAGATCGAAAGTTATATATATTTCAACCATAAGTGTAACCTCCAAGATAAATTCTCGAGAGTTCTCTCTGTCCAATTTATTGATGGGATACGATCGATCTTGATCTCGGGTGAGCGTAATACTTTCGCAAGACGCTAACCATGATTTCATCTATTGACATGAACCGATCAGAGGCATATCTCTAGTGAAATTAGGCATGATACAAGTTTCCTTATAATCTACTTCCATCCACGGTCCCGTAACACATCCTTCCTCTCTGCGTAATTTTCTCGAAGTTATATAATCACATCATGCGTCATGGTTGTGCGAAATCTTAAGCTGCTTCCATATAATTCACAAAACATAATTCACAAACGTATACACAAAATGACGTATTACCATACGCAAGACCATTTGTACGTAGATGCAAATCAACTGCACGCAATAAATTGAATTGCGACAGCGATGGTATTTTTATTTAAGCCAGGTTAGAGAAACTTATTATGTATTTGATATTTTTTGAAAAAATATAAAAAAGGTGATTTTCTTGTCGATAATTGAGCAAATATAATTCATTTTCGTTACTCTTTGCTGTTCCATATTATTGGTTAATGTGATAGTTTAGTCCAGTCTAAGTATAAGATAATAAGTCCAGATGTATAAGTTGCTATTCGTAAAACGTAAGTCTTTATTTTGAATTTGCGTTTATTCTCTAAAAGCTTTGGATTAGAATCTGGAGTGACGATTGAGTCAGTTGAAAAAGAGTGGCGCAATTGTCAATTTTTAAGAATGAAATTTCATTCTTTAGAGTTAGATTTTAGTCCAAAGATTTTTTAGAGAGAGCATTTTGCGATTTGCGAATTAGAATATAGAGACATTTTACGCACGAATTTTATTTGCGCGATACATCATCATCAAAAATTTTAAACTGACAGATCATTCAACAAATTTAAATTATGATATCATAGGTGTAAGTTTCATGAAGACTGAAAAAAATAAATTCTCGCAAATACTTTCACAGAAATTTAATACTGACCATACCGATTTAATACTGAAAGACAGTAATTAATTACTTATTTTAAGTATTAGAAGCACTGTTTGATCTTTTAATACTCTAGATGAATAATTAATTACAGTCTTTTAGTAAATTTGTCAATATAAGTTGTATTAGATTTCTAGTATTAGATTTCTATAAGAAACAGAACGAGTAAGAAATCTATTTTATTACATGATATTAAATAATATTTTGCAACGTAGAATTAGAAAAAAAAAATTAGATACAAAGCTAAATATATTCACATTTATATCTCGATGATTAATCTTTATAGGTACATCTATACAAGAACTTTATATAGAAAACTTTCCACGAAAGAAACCGGAAGTTAAATTTTATCGTGCATGTAAATCCGTAAATAATTCATCGTGTTGCAATTCAATGTGACGTTCTTCAATAATTCTGCCATTTGCAGTTTTTCTTACGATCTCTTTCGCGATCAATTGATATTGCGAGAGAAATGGTTTCTCGCATAAGAACTCATAGGGCTCTTTGCGTCACTTTTACACGCGCAAAGGAAAAGAAATAGAGTCGTAGGTTTATTTTTACAAGCAGTTAGAAAATCTGATCACTTGCCTCTGACACGATGGAGAGCGAGAGAAAGATAAATTTTAATTAAGGGCGACAGGTCTCGCTGGTGCGGTTACTTTATATTTCCGGTCGCACAGTGGCCGTTTTATTATATGTTGGGATTATGCCGGCGCCAAGCTATTTCGAAGCAGTGCGCGTTGCATTTTATGCAACCCGTAAATTTACCCACATTGAATAAATTCCAAATCGAACGATCCCGCCATCGCGAGACCTGGCTTTGTGTTACGCGCGGTAAAATTACAGATCGAAATTCGAAGGATATGTGTGCAAGAGATATGATAGACTGTTGTTGTGAGATATGCATCTGATGCTTAACATAGCATCACTCTAATTGTTTCTTTTGACAAATATCCAGTATGAGTAATGCTAAAAATTTTACAATTGAGCACTTTTATGCTTCTGTCAAAATCTGGAATACAGATGAGCATTTTCGTAATTACTTACTTTTTAATAGTGGCAGATCGTTCATGAACCCTCCATCGTCCACGTTTGTGTTCTAAAACATAAAAAAAAATAATCAAATTTAATATCAAATTTCTTAATATATTTTTTTTTGTTTATATATATATTTAATCACAATTTGGAGATAATTTTTAAAAATAAAAACATAAATTAAAACATTTGTATATTTTTAAATAAAATTGACCCTTTCAATATATAACATTAAATTTTATATTAAATATAAATCATTTTATATTAAATATTATGTCTTTCTTGTAAAAAATAATTCATCTATAAAAAAATTTCACCTATAAAATTGAGTCTATATTTTTAGTTTTATCATTTAATTTAATTTAATTTTTTAGATCCTTAATATTAAATCCTTTATATGATCATAGCATCGTTGTATTTAACATTGAATTAAATGCAAGAAGAAATTAATTATTGATTTATGATTCACACAACAAAGAATAGATTTGTGATTTAGAAATAGTGCGCAATTTTTTAATACATTTAATATATATTTTTACATATATTTTTTGTTCGATAAGAATTTATGATAAAAATCAAAAAGTATTGTAAGTATAAAATATTCAACATTATTTATACCGAGAAATACACTAGTTATTTCTTTTTCACGAATATTTTTGCGTATAAATCGACTACACGGTTATGTGCTTGTTTAAGACAAAGAAAAATATTTTTGACCACAGCAAAGTATGGTATGTTTCGCAGCATTCCGTCTCGCATTGTAACAAACGACTGACATTCTGTTTAATGGACGCTGAAACTTTTTTGACATAACTGCTTTACTTTATAAAAAAAAAAATAGATTAATCCAAAAGGAATCGACAAACATTTATTTCATGAAATTAATCACGAGAAATAATTTAAAAAGTTATAAGTTAACTTCTCTTAATTTTTTTTCCCATTTTATATATTAACAATTAAATCTAAAATCTATTAAAATAAATTCTGTTTAAAAAAAAAAAGCTACAACGTTACTGCTTGTCATTTCGCTTCATATTTATCGATAAATGTGCGCATTTATTTCT